GACATTTAGGAGTTATTTTCGGCTTTATTTTAAAAATTCCAACCATTATTCCCAAGTTTTTCGTTTGTTTAAATTATGACTTTAAAATTTTTCGATTTTTCAGTTTCCAGATTTTTTTTTAATTTTCAATTTGTTGTTTCTTCAGTTTTTCGATTTTTCAATTTTTCCGGATTGCACTTTTTCGATTTCATTATTTTTCGAATTTTCGATTTTCATTTCCTCATTTTTCAAGTTTTTGAATACAAAATTTTGGATTTTTCAACTTCGCAATTTTTCGATTTTCGAGTTTTCTAATTTCAACTCACTCCGTCAATTTAAATTTTTTAATTTTTCATTTTACAAACTTCAAAATTCATAAACCTGAAAAATTCGAAAGTCGAACAAATCCAAAAATTGAAAACAAAACTTCAAAATCGTAAATTTAAAGCAACGAATAATTCAAAAGATTCAAATTAAATTTTAAAATTTGAAAAACTATAACACCGCTAAATGGAAAATTCGAATAATGAGAAGATAGAAAATTAAAAAATTGGGAAGTTGAAAAAATGGAAAAACTGTAGGAACAAAATATGAAAAATTCAAAAAAAAGTAAAAAACTCCGAAGAATTGAAAAATAGAAAAATTAAAAAACTAGAAGCTGAAAAATCTAAAAATCAGAAACTTTCAAAATCATAAATTCAAAGAAAGGAAAAATCAAAAATTGAAAATCGACAAATTTTGGTCCGAAAACTTGAAAAATTGTGGAAACAAAAAAGGGAAATTTGAATAAAAATTGAGATTTCTTTGCAACATCGAAAAAGTGAAAATCCGAAAAATTGAAAAAACTTCAAAAACTGGACAAATAAAGCAAACAATTGATAATCTGAAAAATGGAAAAATTGATAAGCTAAACTTTCAGAAATGGAAAATTAAAATTTCGAAAAATTATAAAATCGAAAGAAAAAGTGAAAATCGGGAAAAAATCCAAAAGTCCAAAAATTGCAATTAAATCATAAAATTAACGAAACGAAAAATTCAAAAATCCGAAAATTGAAAAAATAAAACGTTGAAAAATCGAAAAACTTGGGAAATAGAAAATTCAAAATTCAAAAAAATTAAAATGGTGTCTTTAATTTTACGATTTGCAAATTTTGGATTTTTCATTTTTCATTTTTTAGCTTCCTCAATCTTGCGGCTTTTGTACTTTTCAATTTTTCGAGTTTTCACTTTTCGATTTTGCGAAGAAATCTCAATTTTTGGTTTTTTCAATTTTTTGTTTCTACAATTTTTCAAGTTTTCGAATCAAAATTTGTCGATTTTTAATTTTTGATTTTTCCTTTCTTTAAATTTATGATTTTGCAAGTTTCCGATCTTTCGACTTTTCAGCTTCTCGTTTTTTAATTTTTCGATTTTTCAATTCTTCGGTGTATTCAATTTCGAAGTTTTGTACTTTCTTGAGTTTTTCATTTTTTGTTTGTCCAGTTCTTTGATTTTTCCACTTTTGATGTTTTCAACTTCCCAATTTTTTCAATTGTTCAATTTTTGTTAAAAGAAAAATACTTAAAGATGAGCTCGCAATATTATCAAATACAGGGTGTTCCATTTGAAAAAAATAAGAGAAACTTCATGTATAATTTCAGATCTCCATCATTATTCCACAAAGATTATATATTTACCAAATTATCAAAAAAGACGCCTATGAAGTTAATAAAAAAGGCTGTTTAATTTCAATCCATAAAATATTTCAACGTCATAAACGGGACATCCTGTATTAAATTATAAAAAAATATACAGGGTGTTTAATAAAATGCAACAAAAATAACAAATATACACAACATTCACATAAAACACCCTGTATTCCAAACCTTGGCTGAAACGACCCAACACCTTCGCTTTCAAAATCTATCGAATTTTCAAAATACGTAGCGAAAAATTTCAATTCATTGAACCCCAGTTTCGACCCCAGAAACAGTCCTGCTTCAACCACGTTCCCCACAATCACTTTCGCATTTTTTCGGTTTTCGTGTTTTCAAATGTCAAGTAAGTCAATTTAAATTTTTTTAATTTTTCATTTTCAAACTTCAAAAATGGAAAAATGAAAAAACAATACGAAAAATCGAATTTAAAGAAAGGAAAAATCAAAAGTTAATAATAGAAAAATTTTGATTCGAAAACTTGAAAAATTGTGAAAATAAACAATGGAAAATTCAAAAAATTATAATTTCTGAAATTTGAGAAAACGAAAAATTGGGATTTCTTTGCAAAATCGGAAAAATGAGAGCTCGCAAAATTGAAAAATCCAAAAGTTGTAACATTGAGTAAGCTAAAAATTGAATAATCTATATTTTGCAAAATCGTAAAATTAAAGGAACGATTTTTATTTTTTTTTGGAATATTCAAGTTTTTTCGAATAAAAATTTTTCGATCTTTCACTTTCTATTTTTCGGGTTTTTCTTTCTTTAAATTTATGACTGTGAAATTTTTCCATTTTTCAATTTGCCGATTTTTTATTTGAATTCTCAATTTGTTGTTGCCTCAGTTTTTTTGATTTTTCAACTTTTGATTTTCAATTTACGGATTTTTGAATTTTTCGTTTCGTTAATTTCACGATTTGGAGAAACCAAAAACGAAAAGTTCAAAAGAAAGTAAAAAAACTCAAAAATTGAAAACTGAAGAATTGAAAAATAGAAAAATTAAAAAACAAGAGCCGAAAAATCGAAAAATTAGAAACTTTCAAAATCATAAATTTAAAGAAAGGAAAAATCAAAAATTATAAACCGATAAATTTTGGTTCAAAAACTTGAAAAATTGTGGAAACAATAAATGGAAATTCGAATAATTTAATTTTCTAAAATTTGAAAAAACGAAAAATTGAGATTTCTTTGCAAAATTCAAAAAAATTAAAATCGTGTCTTTAATTTTACGATTTAGCAAATTTTGGATTTTTCAATTTTCATTTTTTAGCTTCCTCAATCTTGCGGCTTTTGTACTTTTCAATTTTTCGAGTTTTCACTTTTCGATTTTGCGAAGAAATCTCAATTTTTGTTTTTTCAATTTTTTGTTTCTACAATTTTTCAAGTTTTCGAATCAAAATTTGTCGATTTTTAATTTTTGATTTTTCCTTTCTTTAAATTTATGATTTTGCAAGTTTCCGATCTTTCGACTGTTCAGCTTCTCGTTTTTTAATTTTTCGATTTTTCAATTCTTCGGTGTATTCAATTTTGAAGTTTTGTACTTTCTTTTGAGTTTTTCATTTTTTGTTTGTCCAGTTCTTTGATTTTTCCACTTTTGATGTTTTCAACTTCCCAATTTTTTCAATTGTTCAATTTTTGTTAAAAGAAAAATACTTAAAGATAAGCTCGCAATATTATCAAATACAGGGTGTTCCATTTGAAAAAAATAAGAGAAACTTCATATATAATTTCAGATCTCCATCATCATTCCACAAAGATTATATATTTACCAAATTATCAAAAAAAACCCTTATGAAGTTAATAAAAAAGGCTGTTTAATTTCAATCCATAAAATATTTCAACGTCATAAACGGGACATCCTGTATTAAATCATAAAAAATATACAGGGTGTTTAATAAAATGCAACAAAAATAACAAATATACACAATATTCACATAAAACACCCCACAATTCATTGAACCCCAGTTTCGACCCCACAAACAGTCCTCCTTCAACCACATTCCCCACAATCATCCGCGAAACCCAAAAATTGAGAACTCGTGAAATTGCTGATCGAAAAATTAAAGCATATACTGAGAAATTGAGAATGTCTACATTTTTCCCTTTACTTATCTGCTTTAAATATCCATATTTAAAGACGCAGGTGTTGTGGGGATGTTAATCGAAAATCGCACAATCTAATTTTATAATTTTTTAAAGAAACGCAATTCGTCGACCTCGTCAGTCGACTAAAAAATGCGCCTTAATTGTGTTTTTCTCTCTTTAATTTCCGGTGTTATCATAGTCGCGTTTTATGCCTTCAACAAACGCAGCTTCTAGTTTTCACTCAGCACAAGCTGCTGTAAAACATTGTGTTGTTTGCAGTTCAGGTGCCTGTTTTATTGCTCGTAAAACAAAATCCAATTAAGCGCTTGGATTCTAACCCGAGCCCGGAATTGAAATAATATTGTTAAAATTACCACAAACATCTAGCACAATTTTATTTTAGCGCCATTTCAAACTAACAATTTTTAATTTTTCGGCGAGCCGAAGACGTGTTCTAGAATCTAGAACGCACCATGATCAACGCCTTCTACCTGAGTTACCAGGAAGGAGGATATCGGAGTCCGCAAAGGGTTCAGGTACATACAGTAAATTTAGACTTTATGGAACGTTTTATGGCGGCCAACGCAAAAATAAGCAACTGGACTCGACAAAGTAACGTTATTTGGTTTGCTTTGTGGCGTTGATGGCTTGAAGGTGGCAAAAATGTATCGATGTGACCTTAATAGTTTGCACTTTCATGCATGAGTACTTCGATTTGACTGATGAAGTAAGAGCATACAAAGTTCCTTACTTTTGTTCTATGCTAGCCAGGCGATAAATTAAAATCGCTACTATAGTAAACAAAAAAAAAATTGGAACCGTTTGTTACGAGTGAGTTTTTCTATTACAAAATTTTGTGTTGACGTCATCCACATTTTTGCAAGGATGCATATATCAGATTGAATAGACGCATTGTAATACCTACTAATAATAAAAGTATTGTAGGTATTATTGTTATTCTTGAAACTTGATTTATAATCAATAAAATAACGAAACAATGTAATCACGTCTGCCGTTTATAATAACAGAGGTGTAGAGTACCAAATTGCCCGAACTTGAAAGTGTTTATGTTTCGGAAGAATGTCACGTAGAAATTAGTTTGATTGACAAAATTTTACTAAAATTAGTACTCGTCGTTACTCAGCAATTTTTGACATGACGTCAACAAATCCTCAGTGGGGGTGAATACACATTTATATATATTTTTATAATTTTTAAAAGAAATTAAAAAAAAATCCCTACCGTCGCACTCCGCCCCCTTGCCCCTCAGCAGCCTGGAGATCGCCGACACGCTGGGCGCGGTGCTCCTGTCACAGATCCCCTCCTTGACTAGCCTGTCCCTGATTTCCCAGCTGAAAATCGACGGATTTTCCCGCTTGTACTGCTCGATCCGGCTCTCCACTTCCGGCGTCGCGACGCGGGGCTTCGAGCCGCCAATCACACCTGGCCTTATGGATCCTGTTTCCTGTAAAAATAGAACGACGTTTTAATGTTTCGTGAGATTGTGGCACGGATGGTCGGGTTTCAACAACGCCGTGCTCGAGTCAAATCGAGCAGAGGCGTAAGGATGATGGTTTATGGGCGCTGGGTGAGCGTCGGGAATGCTGGGTTTCGCGGGCGATTGTGGGGAATGTGGTTGAAGGAGTCTGTTTGTGGGGTCGAAACTGGGGTTCAATTAATTGCTGACGTCATCTTGAAATTTTTCGCCACATATTTTGGAAATTCGGGAGATTTTGAAAGCGTACGTGTTGGGTCGTTTCAGCCAAGTTTCGACTACAGAGTGTTTTATGTGAATGTTGTGTATGTTTGTTATTTTTGTTGCATTTTATTAAACACCCTATATATTTTAATAAATTTAAGTTCTTCTTTAAAAAGGGTGAAAATTACTATCAGACACAAAGGTTTGTTATATTTTTATAAAAAAAAAATGTTTTACTTAAAAATTTCCCAAACTGAATTGAAGTTTGCATTAAGGCAATTTCGAAGATTTTATGAAATACAGGATGTCTCATTTATCATTTATGACGTTGAAATATTTGCGGATAATGAAGACTGGACTGAAATTAAACACCTTACGTCTTTTTTGATAATTTGGTAAATAAAACCCTTGTGGAATGATGAAATAACGAAATTTAAATAAGTATTTTGAATTATTAATATAAAATCTGAAATTATATATGAAGTCTGTAATTTACCTTGTTTTTTCACAATATGAAAATTAAAAAAATATTAAGAGTAGGTATATTTATTTATACAGGGGGAATAAAATTCAGAATTGTCAGTTTCTCTTATGTTTTCAAATGGGACATCCTGTATTTATAACTTATCCTTAAGTATTTTTCTTTTAAGAAAAATTGAAAGATTCTAAAGACGAGAAGACGGAAAATTAAACAATTGGCTAATTGAAAAATCAAGTGAAAATCGTAAAAGAAAAATGAAAAATTCAAAAGAAGGTAAAAAAACTCGATGATTGAATACACCGAAGAATTGAAAAATCGAAAAATTAAAAAACAAGCTGAAAAATCTAAAACACAGACACTTTTAAAACCACATTTTAAAGAAAGGAAAAATGAAAAATAGGAATATTTTGATTCAAAAATTTGAAAAATTGTGGAAACAAAAAATTAAAATTTCTAAAATTTAAAAAAGCCAAAACTTCAGATTTCTTTGCAAAATCGGTAACTTGAAAAATGCAAAAGTAGTAAGATTGAGGAAGCTAAAAATTGAAAAACCGAAAATTTGCAAAGTCGTAAAATTAAAGACAAGATTTTTATATTTCTGGGATTTTCAACTTTTCGAATTAAAATTTTTCGATTTTTATTTTTTTGAGTTTTTTGTTTCTTTAAATTTTGACTTTGAAATTTTTCGATTCTTAATTTCTCGATTTTTTTGAGTTTTCAATTTGTTGTTTCATCAGTTTTTCGATTTTCCAACTTTCGATTCTTTCAGTTATCGGATTTTTTAATTTTTCGTTTCGAAGAATTGAAAAACAAAAAAATTAATAAACAAGAAGATTTAAAAATCGAAAAATCGGAAACTTTCAAAATCATAAATTTGAAGAACAAAAACTGGAAATTTCAAAAAATTAAAATTTCTAAAATTTGAAAAAAAAACAAAAATTGAGATTTCATTTGCAAGATTGATAAAGCTAAAAATCGAAAAATTGAAAATTTGCAAAATCGTAAAATTAAAGAAACGATTTTTATTTTTTTAAATTTTCTATTTTACGTTTCTTCAGTTTTTAAAGTTTTCGAATTAAAATTTTTCGATTATTTCCCGAGTTTTTCGATTTTTCAACCCTTGATTTTTTCAATTTTCGGATTTTCGAATTTTTAGCTTCGTTAGTTTTACGATTTTGCAATTTTTCGATTTTTAGATTTTTTTCCAGTTTTCACTTTTTCCATTTTATAATTTTTAAAAATTTTAATTTTTCATTTTTTGAAAATTTTAGCTAATCAATTATTCGATTTTTAAGGTTATTAATTGTTTTTTTTAATTTTCGATTTTCAAGTTTTTGAATTTAAATTTTTCCATTTTTCAACTTCGCATTTTTTCGTTTTTCGAGTTTTCAAATTTCATGTAAGTCAATTTAAATTTTTTTAATTTTTCAATTTTCAAACTTGAAAAATACAAAAGTCGAACAAATCAAAAAATTGAAAACAAAAATTCAGAATCGTAAATTTAAAGCAATGAAAAATTCAAACGATTTAAATTAAATTTTAAAATTTCAAAAACTAAAACAGTGCAAAATGGAAAATTCGAAAAATAAGAAGACAGAAAATTAAAAAATTGGAAAACTGGAGAAACCAAAAGTGAAAAATTCAAATGAAAGAAAAAAAACTCGAAAATTGAAAACTCCGGAGAATTGAAAAATCAAAAAATTAAAAAAACAAGAAGCTAAAAAATCGAAAAATCGGAAACTTTCAAAATCATAAATTTAAAGAAAGGAAAAATCAAAAATTAAAAAATTGTGGAAACAAAAAGTACATAGAGATTTCAAAAATTTAAAATTTCTAAAAATTGAAAAAACGAAAAATTGAGATTTCTTTGCAAAATCGGAAAAGTGAAAACCCGAAAAATTGAAAAATAAAAAATCGTAAATTTAAAAAAAACTTCAAAATCCGGAACTTGAAAAATACAAAAGGCGTAAGATAGAGATAGCAAACAATTGAAAAATTTAAAATTCGAATTAAAATGTTTCGATTTTTCACTTTTTATTTTTCGAGCTTTTTTTTTCTTTAAATTTATGACATTGCAATTTTTGGAGTTTTTAATTTTTTGTTTCCTCAGTTTTTCGATTTTTCAACTTTTGATTCTTTCAATAATCGGATTTTTGAATTTTTCTTTCCGAAGAATTGAAAAATAGAAAAATTAAAAAACAAGAAGCTTTAAAAATCGAAAAATCGGAAACTTTCAAAATCATAAATTTGAAGAAAGGAAAAATCAAAAATCAAAATATGAAAAATTTTGAATCAAAAACTTGAAAAATTGTAAAAACAAAAAACGGAAATTTCAAAAAATTAAAATTTCTAAAATTTGAAAACAACAAAAATTGAGATTTCTTTGCAAATCGAAAAAGTAAAAACTTGAGTGAGAGTAATTTAAAAAACTTCGAAAATCGGAAACTTGAAAAATACGAAAGTCCTAAGATTGATAAAGCTAAAAATCGATAAATTGAAAATTTGCAAAATCGTAAAATTAAAGAAACGATTTTTATTTTTTGAATTTTCCATTTTCCGTTTCTTCAGTTTTTAAGGTTTTCGAATTAAAATTTTTCAATTTTTCACTTCTTTTAATTTTCAGTTTTTTATTTCCCGAGTTTTTCGATTTTTCAAACCTTGATTTTTTCAATTTTCGGATTTTTTAATTTTTCGCTTCGTTAATTTTACGATTTTGCAATTTTTCGACTTTTTAGATTTTTTTCCGGTTTTCACTTTTTCCATTTTATAATTTTTAGAAATTTTAATTTTTCATTTTTTGAAAATTTTAGCTAATCAATTATTGGATTTTTAAGGTTAATTGTTTTTTTTAATTTTCGTTTTTCGAGTTTTCAAATTTCAAGTAAGTCAATTTAAATTTTTTTAATTTTTCAATTTTCAAACTTCAAAATTCGTAAACTTGAAAAAGACAAAAGTCGAACAAATCGAAAAATTGAAAACAAAAATTCAGAATCCTAAATTTAAAGCAATGAAAAATTCAAACGATTTAAATTAAATTTTAAAATTTCAAAAACTAAAACAGTGCAAAATGGAAAATTCGAAAAATAAGAAGACAGAAAATTAAAAAATTGGAAAACTGGAGAAACCAAAAGTGAAAAATTCAAATGAAAGAAAAAAAACTCGAAAATTGAAAACTCCGGAGAATTGAAAAATCAAAAAATTAAAAAAACAAGAAGCTAAAAAATCGAAAAATCGGAAACTTTCAAAATCATAAATTTAAAGAAAGGAAAAATCAAAAATTAAAAAATTGTGGAAACAAAAAGTACATAGAGATTTCAAAAATTTAAAATTTCTAAAAATTGAAAAAACGAAAAATTGAGATTTCTTTGCAAAATCGGAAAAGTGAAAACCCGAAAAATTGAAAAATAAAAAATCGTAAATTTAAAAAAAACTTCAAAATCCGGAACTTGAAAAATACAAAAGGCGTAAGATAGAGATAGCAAACAATTGAAAAATTTAAAATTCGAATTAAAATGTTTCGATTTTTCACTTTTTATTTTTCGAGCTTTTTTTTTCTTTAAATTTATGACATTGCAATTTTTGGAGTTTTTAATTTTTTGTTTCCTCAGTTTTTCGATTTTTCAACTTTTGATTCTTTCAATAATCGGATTTTTGAATTTTTCTTTCCGAAGAATTGAAAAATAGAAAAATTAAAAAACAAGAAGCTTTAAAAATCGAAAAATCGGAAACTTTCAAAATCATAAATTTGAAGAAAGGAAAAATCAAAAATCAAAATATGAAAAATTTTGAATCAAAAACTTGAAAAATTGTAAAAACAAAAAACGGAAATTTCAAAAAATTAAAATTTCTAAAATTTGAAAACAACAAAAATTGAGATTTCTTTGCAAATCGAAAAAGTAAAAACTTGAGTGAGAGTAATTTAAAAAACTTCGAAAATCGGAAACTTGAAAAATACGAAAGTCCTAAGATTGATAAAGCTAAAAATCGATAAATTGAAAATTTGCAAAATCGTAAAATTAAAGAAACGATTTTTATTTTTTGAATTTTCCATTTTCCGTTTCTTCAGTTTTTAAGGTTTTCGAATTAAAATTTTTCAATTTTTCACTTCTTTTAATTTTCAGTTTTTTATTTCCCGAGTTTTTCGATTTTTCAAACCTTGATTTTTTCAATTTTCGGATTTTTTAATTTTTCGCTTCGTTAATTTTACGATTTTGCAATTTTTCGACTTTTTAGATTTTTTTCCGGTTTTCACTTTTTCCATTTTATAATTTTTAGAAATTTTAAT